CTACCCAGGGGGACAGCTTGAGGCTCTGTCTCAAAAAAAAAAAAAATTGGAGGGTTGGCCGGGTGTGGTGGTTCAACATCTGTAATCCTAACAGATGGGAGACTGAGAAGGGTGAATCACTTGAGCCCGGGAGCTCGAGACCAGCCTGAGCAAGAGGGAGACCCCAGCTCTACTAAAAGTTAGCTAGGCACTGTGATAAACGCCTGTAGTCCCAGCTACTTGGGAAGCTGAGGCACAAGGATCACTTGAGTCCAAGAGTCTGAGGTTGCTGTGAGCTGTGATGTTGCCGGGCACTGTACCCAGGGTGACAGAGTGAGATTCTCACTGTCTGGTGTCACATAGTTGCTATCAGACATCCGAGGTCCTGATGGAGGCAGGTTTTGCAGGTGAAGACATCTGGATATTGCAGACTACGTGCCTGCCACTGTTTTCTTACTTTCAAGTCATAACGCACGCGTTCGGAGCTCTGCAAAGCGTACCATCCCCATCAGAGACCACAGGGAAAAGGACCCAGTTCTATGAAATTTAAAAGAATGACAACTACTTACTACGGTCCCTTGTCGGCCTTGGTCCTGGGTGCCGCAGTGCTTTGTGGGTAATGTGGTTCCTGCGCGCCGCGGCCGCCCAGACCGAAAGGAACAAAAACTAAACTTCCCAGCAAGCAGCGCACGCGCCTGGAAAGAGGGGCAAGATGGCGGACGCCGATGACCGTGTTTTGCAGGTAGCGGCAACTGCCGCTGCCCCAATTTCATTTGGCTTCACTCGCACGTCCGCCCGGAGGCGGCTGGCAGACGCGGGAGATAGTGCAGAGCAAGTCCCAGAGGAAAAAGATTTCTTGAAGACCGTGGAAGGAAGAGAGTTGCAGAGGTGAAGTGCCGGGTTTTTCATTCCGCGGATATTGGTGTGGTGGGCGCAAGTAGGAGAGAGCAATCTGTGTTGTTTATCTTGGTGACAGTGGCCTAGAAAGCCCAAAACACCGCCTGAGGAAATTCGTGGATCAAGAAGGCGGAAATTTGTAGGAGATGGGGAAATTGGGCTTGATGGCCATGGGGCTTGAGAAAAAAATACGTGGGCGGCGCCTGTGGTTGAGTAGGTAGAGCGCCAGTCCCCATATACCTAGGGTAGCGGGTTCGAACCCGGCCCCGGCCAAACTGCAACAAAAAACAGCCGGGTGTTGTGGCGGGCGCCTGTAGTCCCAGCTACCCGGGAGGCTGAGGCAAGAGAATCGCCTAAGCCCAGGAGTTGGAAGTTGCTGTGAGCTGTGACGTCACGGCTATTACTGAGGGCGATAAAGTGAGGCTCTGTCTCTACAAAAAAAGAAAGAAAGAAAACACGTATTCCTGAGAGGAATACGTATTCCTTTAAGGCTTGGGGACACTGAGATGTGTGCGTTCTGAGAAAGGGAACGGAGGGGAGAGTGACAGGACCTCTAATGTCTCAACTGAAGTGATAGGGCTTCTCTGATATGGGATAGAGCATGAGATCCAGGTTAATTAGGAGAGGACAGTATGAGGAAGGACTTCCTGAACACAATCAGTAGTCTAGTAGGCTGTTCTAGAGTCTGAATCTGGGGAGAGCCTGAGCAAAAGATGGTGATTTGTGAGTCATTGTGGAGGCCAGTCTTGGGATGAACAGAGGGTCTACAAATGAGTTCTCAAAGACACATTTAAGAGTTCAGGGGTACTGAGGTGAGAATCCAGAACATAGACTCTCGGAGACATAACAAGGAGCATATAGGAGGATGGTCCATGGGTCTGGGAGTGACTTTGACTCTTGTGTTTTCTATGAACAAAGGAGTGTGATTCAGAACCCATTAACCTTGTCATTCTCCTTACCCCTCTGTGTCCACATCAGTTTGAAGCCCTCAGAAGCCCCCAAGGAACTCATCATCCCTTTGATTCAGAATAGCCGTCGCAGGCAGCAACTGGCACAGCCCCCTGGGCCATCCATGGGTCCTGGGGACACGGTGGATCAGATGCTGTCTCAAGCCATGAAGGAGCTCATTGAGGGTAAGTGATCCCTCTTCACCTTGCCCCAGTGAAGGAAGAAGTTGGAAAGTTAGGGTGGGACCTCATTGCTCCTCCCATTCTTCCCTTAGAATCCAAGAAGTCTCTGGAGGAGAGAGAGAATGCGGGTATCGACCCAACGCTCGCTATCCCTATGATCCAGAAAGGATGCATCCCCAACAGGGAAGGGGCAGACAGCGAACCCTGGGCTGAGACAGTGAGCTGGCTCCTCATCCCTCTCCTGCCCAGCCTTTCTTGCCCTGTCTGCCAAGATTTTCTCCCTGCACATGGCAGGGAACATTTGTGTGTGTACTAGAGGCCTACTGCCTATCCTTTCTGCCATCCTGTTTGGAAACATTATCAAATATATCTGGATATTGGGATGTGAAAAAATACTTGAATCCTGGGATTATCTGAATATGATGGGGAGCAAAGGAAATAGAAAATATAAAGGCTCTGAAGGTAGACACTACCAACAATGTTTGAAGAACACCAAGGAGACCAATGTGGCTAGCGCAGAATGAATGAGGAGGAGGGTTATAGATGAAGTCAGAAAGGAGATGGATAGAGCTAGACCAGGCAGGGCCTTATGAGCCCTGGTGAGGACTTTGACTTTTACTCTGAGTGAGATGAGAGCCCTGGGCAGCGCCTGAACAGAGCAGGGACATGAGTTCTGATTTGGTAGGACCACTCTGGCTGCTGTGAACAGAACAGACTAACACAGGAAGGCAGAAGCAAAGGAACTAGTAGTCCAAACTAGAGATGATACAGACTTAGACCAAAAGTGGCAGAAGTGAGGCTAGAAGGGTAAGTAGAATTTAGTGGGAGAGGGAAGAACACAGTGAGTACTCTAATGGCAGTAGGAACCCAAGCAATGGCACAGTGACCGGAAGTCATAGTGCTGTTTATCTACCAGTGAGGCAACTTGGGCTGTGCCTGGAGCAAATGTGAAGGATTGAAGGAGTGGTGATGGAAGGTAATAACAGGAAAGGTAGGAGGTGTGTCCACAGTAGTAACTAAGTCTGGGCCAGGCACAGTGGCTCACACCTGTAGTCCTAGCACTCTGGGAGGCCAAGGGGGCGGGATTGCTTGAGGACAATAGTTCGAGACCAGCCTGAGCAAAGTGAGACCCCTGTCTCTCCTAAAAAATAACATAGTCCCACCTACTCGGGAGGCTGAGACAGGAGGATCAGTTGAGTCAGGAGTGTGAGGTTTCTGTGAGCTAGGATGAAGCTATGGCATGCTAGCCCTGGTAACAGTGAGATTCTGTCTCCAAAAAAAAAAAAAAGTAATCAATTCTCTTTCATACCCATAGACCTGACTCTTCACCTCTTCATTCGTAAGTTATTTATGGTGCTTTCGGGCCTAGTTCTTGTATAGCCACAAACCACCCTCTCTTTTTACCAAACTATTCTCTTTAGTCTTCAGTGTGTTCTTTTTCCCTTCCTTTTTTTTTTTTTTTTTTTTTGGAGACAGAGTCTCAAGCTATCGCCCTGGGTAGAGTGCTGTGGTGTCATAGCTCACAGCAACCTCCAACTCGCTCAAGCTATCCTCTTGCCTCAGTTTTTCTATTTTTTAATAGAGACAGGGTCTTACTTTTGCTTAGGCTAGTCTCAAACTCATGAGCTCAAGCAATCCACCCACCTCGGTCTCCCAGAGTGCAGTGTGAGCCACCACGCCCGGTCAATTCCCTTCATTTTTAATAACAAAAAAGAAATCCTCACTTCATTATTCACTCTGTTCTAGCTTTGGCATCATTTCTTTCTTCCATTTTTCCCCCTACAAACATCCTGTAGCTTTTCACATTTCAGTTGGCCATAATTCTGTCCTCTCACTCCTTATAAACCTTGGAGTCATCCTTGACTCCCCTCTTTGTTTCATACCCTGTATACAATCTGTCAGTGCAATCCTACAATCTCTCTTTTCAGAGAGAATAACACCCAGAATATGACTACTTCTCACCATTACCACTACCACCACACTGGGCCTAAGCTGCCAGTATCTCATCTGGACCACTGTAGTAACTAATTTACTAGTCCTTCTCATGGATCCTTCCTGCCTCAGGGTCTTCTAGCTCCTACCCAGCTCTCTTGATAGTCTCTTACCCACCCTTCTGGGCCTCCACATCTCAGTTTTAGTCACGTTGACTTTCATGATTCTTTTCTTTTCTTTTCTTTTTTTTTGAGACAGAGTTTCATTGTGTCGCCCTGAGTAGAGTGCTATGACGTCATAGCTCACAGCAACCTCAAACTCTTGGGCTTAAGCAATTCATTTGCCTCAGCCTCCCAAGTAGCTGAGACTACAGGC